GCCATATTATTATTACTCATCTGACGAACGTTTATCAGCAGCCCCGTCTCTTTTACAGGATCCCTAGTCCCCCCTACATGGCCTACATTCTACATATGCCCGTATATGGTCATTTCCGTGGTCATCAGTTTGGTATGGCATGCACGTCGAGTACACGATGACTGAATACTGATGTACACAAAATTCGTAGAAGATAAATAATAACAACATATATTATTATGATGTTATTTTACTAACTGCCTAATCGTACAATTCTGTAACTATGATAATGTCCAATCAATCTCTTTTCTTATATAGAAAAATCTCGTGTCACAATATTTGTCCGGGATGGCGGGATGAACTCAGAAAACTACTGGACCGATCTTCTGATCTTGATGAAATTTTTTACACTGTATGTAATTTGGTCTAACTTAAAAGATAGGATAGGTTTTTTCTCGATCATAGATCTTCAATATTTTTTTATTGCAATAATCGTGAAAAAGAAAGTTATAGAATATTCTAGAAAATTCCACAATGTTCGAGAATAGAGAGTGACGTCGAATAAAATGTTCGCTAATGCTTCGTTCTAGAAAGTAGAAATATCAATCTTCAATAAAGATAAAAAAAAGACGAAGTTTGGTACGACGTGTTCGTCAGTATTCAGTATTCTTTAGTTGTGATCTAAGGGGCATCTATGTAAATTAAGTGAAGTGTAAGTGTAGTGAACCATTTAACTGAAGTTATGAATATTGTATACAGTTTTATTTTTTATTCGGCATTTTTGGAGTTGGAAATTCGTGGTTTTGGCTGCCCCCCTCATTTTCTCATGTATTGAATASCGTCCCGTCTAACTTTTATCTTAAAGTGACGTGGAAGGGATCTCCGACCTGTGCCTTTGTAGACATCCACGGTTTTCGTTACGCCCTCATTTTCCTGTGTGCTGAATAGTATAAAGAAATAAATAAACAGGATAAAGAATGTCCACTATGGAGTTGGAAAATCTATGTTTTTCCAATAGGAAACTAATATATATTGCATGCTCACGTGATTAACCAAAAATATTGTGCACTA